GGAACAGATAATAAGTAGCACAATTGAGGCTTGGGTGCTAGAGGGGATAATAGGCTACCAGACTTTCAGGCCGGAAAACTGTGGGTTCCTTGAAAAAAGGAACTTTTGAAGTCATGTAATTACACTCAACTTCTGCCTCTGCAGAAGGTAGAGCCAGTTCTGCAGTAACAGGGACATTGCTAAGAAGGAATGAGATATATTGGCAGGGTTGCAGGAGCAGAGAGCAGCTGCAGATTATGACTGAAGGGCATCTGCAGAATTGCATATGACTTGGGTCCAGCATAGGCAGAGAAGACATCTGAAGGCCCAGATTATCTGAGGTACTCATCTGCCCCTAGTTATCACTGTGTTACCGAGCAGAAACTGAGGTACAAAGGGCATTTGTACACATGCTTGTGCTGCAGTGTTGGGCACTTTTAAAAGTGCCCTGCATTGCGGTGCGTGCATTTGTATAAACCATGAAATGCACATCAGCGCTGAGAAAACAGTGGCAGTGCACTTTTGAACTAAAACACATCGAAGGAATTTCAGTTCAAAAGTGCACCGCTGCCATTTTCTTGGTGCTGATGTGCATTTTGCCATTTATACAAATGTATACGCCGCAGCACCAGGCGTGTCGGATCGCATACAGAGCAGACTTCATTAATCAAGTCCACTCCAGTGTGCTGGATCTCTAGTGTGTTGGAGCAGACAAATGTATGTGTATAACTGCCTAAAGGGATTAAGGACCAGATCCAGTTTGGTTTTGGAGGTGTTTGCATTTTAAGTGTTAGGACAATTGATTTGATCAGCTTTAACAGGAGAAATGGAGGGGGTCCCCAACCAAACTATTCATATAGGTTGGTGATTAGGGCACTTTTCTGAGAAGTAGGCAGTAGTGATTCAGGACAGGAAAAAGTGGGGTGCAGCTGTGTCAGAGAGCTAGTTGTGCATACATCCAGCAGCCAAGAATAAGAGCTGTCAGTGGCAAACCGGTGGGTAAAGGAGTGACCATACCACCACAGCTACACCCGCTTTGGATTCCACCCCTGGAAGTGGGAGATGTGGGTTTGAATATTCTTAGTCTGAGGAAGTCCTCTGACCTCAGTCTTGACTTCCTGTGTGAGTGCTCTAATGGCTTATCTATTGTGGAAAAGGTGGGTAGCACCACTACTGTTACTGTTTTTGAGCTGAACTCAGTGCTGTTGGGGTCAGTCAGGTGTGCTCAGAGCATGCCTAATGGAGCAAGATCCTCAAGGGATTTAGGAGCCTCCCCAGCTGGGAAACTTGACTGGGGTGGAGTGGTCCAATTGGATTAATTCTACACAGTCTTAGAAGATCAAGTCCAGGCTGCTTTGGAGCTTAGGAACCAACATTCTGCTTAAGTCAGGGACCAAACTGGCGTTGGTGCTAAGTGCTTTGTGCCAAGTCACAAAGAAAGTCTGAAGTGTAGCAGGGATTTGACCCTGTATTTCCTTAAGTCACTAATTAGTGGTCTGCGCCGGACCTTCCTCCCCCTCTCTGAGGAAGTGATAGCTTTGAGGTCCACCAGCAGCACCGCCTGGGAGGGTTTGCACAGTACTCTCTTAATGCCTGTATTGTGTGTTAACTACAGGTGGAAACACTTTATTTTCACTAGGGCTCTCATCTACCTACTATCTTACTCTCTTTACAAAGCTAATACTTGATTAATCCCAAGGTTAATTGGCTCCATTTTGTTCACTAGTATTTTGGTGGGCATTGTGATTGATTGGGGCATGACCTTCCACACTACAGCATTCCTGATGCTAAACCAAGTGCTACGAGCAAGCAAGTCCCACATGATCCTTAGAATATTTGTAATGTACAGGCAAAAATAACACCCTTGACTAACTGGAGAGAAGAAAACAGATGTCCCTTGAGATAAAACAGCCACTATTGCTTCAGTAATTACGTTCAGCAATTAAGACAGTCGGGGGTGAAGAATGCCAAATGCAAACCACAGTGCTTGAAAGATGTTTTGTGAGGTGCCCCTACCCCAAAAGCAAATTGAGCTGAGAACTGGAGCTCCAGCAGCCCACCCAGTACTCTGAATTTCTGTAACAGAGTTGCAGGCCACCACTTCCCTCTACTAGTTTGTGGGTGAATTTAGTACTTCTGGCAGGGAGGGAGTGAGAGGCCATGTACATATTGAGCAGGTGTTGCTCAAGTTCCCCATCTGCGCTCTGAGGCACTGCAATCCTGCCTTCTAGGAACCCTGACTCTGACCTAATATAACTCTGATCAGGCATCTTTATCTTAAGCTGAAGTGCATCCCCTTCTGTTCCAGTCTGAGCCTCTGGAAAGCTCTGTCAAAGCAACGCACTTCACCAGTTTCTTGGTACTGGAGTCTTGTGCTCCCTCAAGGCTGTGCCTGTCCTGCACGCACACCATCTTCTTAGTCTTGGCCCCACATTTTGATGCAATCTAATTACCACATTTCTTCTCTGTCTTATGTATACATGCACACACGCACACATACACATGTGCATGCGTGCACACAGGATTTCAGTCTGTTTGTCTCTGTCACTGGGCTATGGTTAGTCCTGTGCTGCTGGGGTAACGGTTCCTCTTGGGTTTCAGTAATACCTATCAGGGAAGGTGAGAGAATCAAATGTAGGTTTCCCCTGGCTCTGTGAACTCATTACCCCTGCTTAGTTTGTGTGCCCTGGAGAATCTGAAAGACTGAATTATCCCTCCATTCCCTACTGAGTCTAAGTTAGCTCTTACTAAAATAAATAAGCACAACCTGTCTGGCATGTGGCATGAAATCCATGCTTCTTGAATGGCAGCTGAACCAGAACCAGAAGAGTGTTAGGGTGCCTATACATGAGCAGCAAGGCTGCTCTGATGCACTGTAATTACAGCACATTGGAGAAGGCTCGATTAATCAAGTCTGCTGGAGTATGACAATTACGGTGCTCCAGCAGACTCCAGAGTCTAGTGTATCAGCATCCCCATGCTTAAAAATGGCGGCAAGGGCACTTAAACTAAAGCTCGTTGAACACTGATACACAAGATGCTCTGGGTGCTTTAATTGGAGTGCCTCTCAGAGCCACTCTAATGAAGGGTGCCCCTCACCCCCCACTGCTGGAGCATACTGTCGCAGGGCACTAAGGTGCCTTGCTCCTTTAAGGGCTGAAACTGCTAGGGAGAGAGCCCTAGCAGTCAGTCAGGAGCCCATCCCTGCAAGTTACCAGGGCAGCAGGAA